CCACCAGACAGATGGTCCCTCACATGAGCTCCATAATAACACTTGTACAGAGGACAGAGTGATTGATTCCAGATATTCCAGCTTCCTCCCGAAGAGGTAATCACTGTGTTACTCTTGCTTTTTAAGTGCTGACAGTCCAGAGCACTCCTCCCTCATGAAAGTTTCTCTTTCTGAGCAGTTCCATGTTCACAAAATGGAAATAATTCTAAATAATGTCTTTAGGCACTATTTTCTTTTAAAAAAATTAGCCATCATTTTGACTTAGATATTTGCAAAATAAATGTATCTCTTTCTCCCAAATACCCCTGCCGAATCTTGATAAATTGATTATTCAGCACGTCATAGCATACAAGGAAAAATGCTTGACGCGTTGGATGTCCTAAAAATGTTTCTTAAAGCATACAAAATGCTTTGCTGAGACAGTCTTACAGCTTGTCTTGCCCCATATTGAATAGCTTCCAGTCCTAAAATGCTTGGAATGAGGTGTATAAATAAGACCCTGACAGAACATTCCAAAGGGAAAAGCTTTAGAATGTTAGTCTGGTAAAACAGAAACAATAAAACACCCTGTGCTATCTTGAAGACGAGCAAACACATCACAACATGAACTGTCACACATCCATCTCACTGAGCACAGGAGGCATTATCTCGAATTTCAGGTAGTGTATCCAGTATTTATGTGTGTGTGTGTTTACACAGCTGTCTTTCTGTCTATCGGAAATTGTGGATAACGCCTAATGCATCTAAAATGGCACAAGTGTTTGAGAACTTCAGATGCCATTTTTTCTTACTGCAGCAGACTAATGTGGCTCTTCATATCCACCTCGTCCTTCATGTATCTAGAGGTGTGGGAAAGTAATCCTTCCATGTTTATCTGTAGGGCTTAAGCAGCATCCCTTTTTACACTCATTGGTGGGGATTGGCACCCCTGTGAGTACAATTGTTTTTTATGTTCTCTCTTATACGGAATTCAATTTCGACTTATAGTGACCCTCCTGGGGCTGTTTGGGCCTAAAGTAGTCAGCAGGGGCTTACCAGTCCCTCCTTCTGGTAGTGCATTGGGATCGCAAAGCTTGCTTAGCACTGTAGAGGCGACAGGGCACAGATTCCCATCAGCCATACATGCTTATGTTAGTCTCAGGTGGGAGACTCTGTGGGGCTTCAGCCTCCCAGTCCCTGGGAGGATGAATGCTCTTGGCTATTTCTTGGATGACTTGTACTCTGGACTCATTTGCCTCAACTCTGTGTGGCCCACACATGAAAATTTGTTTTTGGAGTACAGAGCATGATGTCACGTTTGTCTTTGCACACACCAGAAGCTTCCTAAAGAAGGTAACAGCTAGGGATTGGGCTTTCAGGTTAACCTGAACTGGGGGAAACCCCCACAAAAGAGGTCTGTTCTTTCATTTTCTTTTGTGGCTTTACAATAGAGTATCTGAAATATGAAATATTTTAGATTCTGAAAGATAGGTCAATGAACATTATGTAATTTTTTTCATATTTAATATTACCCTGCCTTTTTAGCCTTTTTATCTCATTGATGTTTGGAGGGATTTTCTCAGCGTTTCCTTTATTGTTGCCTGGGAAGGCTAGCTTCCTGCCCTTCCTCTGGTCACCATTACCTGTGCTGCTGGATGGAAGGAGAGCTGTCTCCCCATCCTGGAGGATTTGCAGGTTGGTTGATAATATTGCCCTTCATGAGTGTGTCTACGTTTCATTTTGATTATGATCATGGTGATGGCCTCTCTTTCTCATCTGTGTTGATGAATTGACGGTGATGATAAATGTTAACATTAAAGTACTTGTAGTGTCTGCATAGGTCTGTGGATGGTTGTTTTTTCTTTCTTTCTTGTGTATTGTTGTGGTTGCCCACTTTTGGAGTAAATGATTGTCCATTGCCTTGTCCCTGCCAATTTGGGCCTAGCACCAGAAACTCAAATAGGAAACTCAGAAACAAAAGGTCATGAAAGATTGGGGTTCTTTTGGGTTTACTAAAAGTGCCTGAACCCGAAAGAACCTGAAATTGAAAGAGGAACAACACAAAAGATCTCGAAATGAAAGAAATACTAACATTTTCTTCCTGCACGTGCATAGTGATAGTCCTTTATCTAGTTCCCTCATGACCGGGCCAAAGACATTCCTGCTGCTTTGCTGTCGGTTTTCTGGGGACACTAGTCCATATACTGGTATGGGGAGCTTGAAAAAGATAATTTCAATAAAAATAGGAGCAATTATATTTTGTTTGCTAGAAGAAATATGTTCCATGGAATGCTAGGTACACCACTATGCACAGAAGCCAGGGTGGATAGTAATCAATGATTTCTTTAAATCAAATTGATTTAAATAATTATTTAAATTTAAAAATGATTTTTAAAATTTTTTTATCAGGATGGTGGTTACAAGGTCATGCCTTATCCCAAGGGGGTAGCAGTCCCTTCCAAAGTCCATACAGCAGCACCATTCTCATGCCATTCCTTTCCCCCCAAAAAATCTCAATTTAAAACAAATCTTGCCAGAGATCCTCCATTTCCTACAATAGACTTGTGGGCTTGATTTACAGTTCATTTTTGAGTTGGAAGAGTAGCACAGGGTGATTCTTCTTTTCAATATTCACAGGCTACATGATGTAAAAGACTTCACAGGGTCATAGAGCCCATCTTTTTAATTGACAGAGTGACACATAGGTTCACTTTTAAATCAAGAAGCAGGCAGACCAATAGTTATGTTGTATCTCATGAGTCACTTAACTTCTGGGTGCAGTTGGAAGGGAAGGAAGAGATGGCACCTCCTCCCAATTCTACATATAAAAGCTGCCTAGACAATGACAGTGGACCATGGCCTATTTCCTCCAGCAACTTGCTGCTGACCCCAGAATCTGCCACCTGAAACTGTCTTGCTCTAGCTACTGGCCAGGTGGCTCTGTTCTGGTGATATCTCTCCAATTTTTCTTTCAAATAATTGTTGAAGTCAACATGGAGAAGAGGCCAGACAATCAAGCAGTCTCACCGCCGCAGGAGATTTGCCTCCACGTAAATGTGCAGGACATACAGAGCAAAACACTACAGGCAAAATGAATGGAGAAGTACAGTAGCCCTGGGTCCTAGGAGGAGTTTATTGCCTGTAGCAAGATTCTTTTTCAAATGGGAGAGAATTTTTTTAAAAGGTGTACCTCCTTCCATCAAAATTGCTGCAGTGCAAAATTCTCAAATTTCATTCTCTGTGCTGAGTGAGGCAACTCAAGCGTACAACCAAGTGAACTACATCTCTCACCATCTCTTCCCCCTGTTAGGGAGAATATCTGAATTGTGTTTAACTGATCGGATGAATGCAGAAAGGCCAGTTTTCTAACCTAGTGGTTATTAATAGTGCTCAGACTTCTTTTTTCTTGCAGGTCTTTACATAGTTTGACTCTGTTCTACTCCCCATGCATGCAACTCAAGCACTGTTGGTTACAGAAAGAGCTTGATTAGCCAATTTGGCACTCACCTGCAGCTAGAATACAAAATCATTGTTTCTGGGACATTCCTAAAGCTGCCATTCACAGTTATATTCCCTAAATCCAATACTGCTACACAGCCTCACACATTTCTCAGTTTAAAAATCAAAGGAAGAAAATATCATGACAACTAATATTAAAAGTTCAAGTTTCCTTTTAGATAATGACGACATGCACTACAAAAGTCATAATAATTGTTCTTGGTCGTAGATATTCTGATCAATGATTCTGGTCTGTGAAACTAGCCAGCATGCTGATGGTATGGGCACATAAAACAGCTGTAACAAGGAAGGTTTGATTATGTCACACAGGTAATTGTTTTTGTGAATGAACTAATTATATGTGTGCTACGAAGAGCTCAGTTATCTGACACACGCCAGATAACTGAGTGTGTGTGTGTGAAAGTCAGAAAGTAAAGTGAATTAAGTGAGCTATTCATTTCATATAGTAAGTAGATATGCAGTAAGTGAATTAATTTCTGCCATTTTTGTTTTTTCAGTGAATTCTTCTTGCATGTACCGTACAAGAATCTCAACTGTAGAACTGCTATCTGTGCAAATCTATCTACAGAGTGCTGGAAACAGTTCTCACACCCATCCACTGCCATAGACTGCAAGTGTATGTAGAAATCTCTGAAATAGCAACGACTTGTGTTAAAAGTATGTGAAGTCCAGAAAGAAGATTGGTACAGAAAGCTTGCCACCTTTCCTTTCACACCATTTATAATGAATACTTTTAAGAAAGAGGATTTAGCAGTGTACAGAAACTTATAAGTGCTTCCTTTGGGAATGTTCTTCTTATTAGCAGCTGCTTTTTTCAGAATAATAGCTAGAATGCTTTTAAACTCTGCCTTCTTAACTTTGATTTATCACAGCAGGGTGGGCAAACAGATTTCAAAAAATCTGTCAGCTGAAATAGATTCCAGAGAGATTTATGTAGAAGGACACCTCACCTTTTCCAACAAAATTTCTTTGCAGATAAATATCCATAGGATCATAGCTTCAGGATGGAGAAAGAAAATGGGTAAATTCCAGTTCTCTTGGATTGTCTTAATGTTCCCCTATTATTGTTAGATGTTCTTTTTGCTTTTTTAAAAGGAACATATTAAACGCAAAATTAAGGCTGCAGTTCTATGCACACTTACTTGGGCACGAAGTGTCATTGAACACAGTGAAACTTATTTTAAATAAGGATTGTACTGTAACAATAGGTAAACAAATAATAGGTTTTAAAGGCTATAGGCAAAAGTCCACCTTGGAAAAGATATGGATCATGTCATGTCTCATATTTAGTTTTTATATGCTGATTTTCAGCAATGTCACAGTTATTTTGTTTCTTACCATAAATTTGTCATAAATACAGAAGATACAGTTATTGATATTTATACATATACAGATGCAGAGAAAAGACTATGAAAATGTACTTCAAAAAGTGTGATCCATGAAGAGTCCTGTTTTTGACACATCATCCTGTAGTTTATGAAGGCTGTTAGAAAGGGGCTTACCTGTCTGCAGAAAGAGCCGTGAGCGTGAAGACAGATACCCCCACTGAAGTGAGCTGTATGAAAGGGATAAGTTTACATCCAACTCGGCCAAATAGCCATTCAGAAGACAGGTACTTGCTGGCATCCACAGGAACACAGGTGAGCAAAAGAAGCAAGTCTCCGAAAGCCAAACTAGAGATGAACAAATTAGGGACGTTTCTCATGGACTTCACCGTACAGAAGATTTTGATCAGCGTGATGTTGCCAACAAGTCCTATTAAAATGATGAGTCCATAAATAGTTGGAATTGTGTATATGAATTTATCTGAAAACATTTCCTCCTCCAACAGAGAGAGATTTGATTGCCGAGCAGAAGAGATATTGCAAAGAATAATGTCCTCCAACTCCACATCTAGCAAAATGCACTCATCGGAAGCCATTGTCGGGTTTCGAATTCCTAAGAAGTCACTACTTGATTTAAAAAACTCACACACCCTGCATAAACTCTTTTGAGTCAGTTTTGTTCCTCCTTGGTGTGTTTCAGTGGAGGTGGAACACAAGGTGTGATTTATTATAAAATGAACCATACACATAATAACGGCAGTCGATTCAAACAAGGAAGCATCAAGATCATTTTAGTTCCACAGTCTGTTGATCTCCCCTCCTGCCACCTGTTTGCTAGACCTGCAAACGAGTACCTTCCCAGTTTGCAAAAAACAAGAGAGAGAGAGAGAAGAGACTGCACAAAACCAGTCAGATTCCGGAGCAGCACCAACTGCCTGGTGAGATTTCACTGTAGAAAAGGTAGATCACATTTGGCAAGAGCTACTAGCAGTTGCTGCTCTTTCCCCCCGTCTTTTCAGATGCTGCACTTGCCATCAGTGTCTGCAGTAAAGGTGAGGAACAGCTCTTTTAAACACAGAAATCCCAGAGGCAGGATCTTTGGAATGCAGGTCTCTCCCTGCTTCACACAATCTACCAAGCTTCTTTAGCAGTTGTAAGAAAATGTTGCCTGGTTTTTGGAGAATGCCAGCCACCTGCTGGACAATTTCATCACTGCCCATATCAAATACACTTATAAATGTGACTGAGTCCCTGTACTGAGGGGTTGGGTTCAACATGCAAATTTCTTTCTCTGAGCAAATACCAGTTTGATTACAAATATTGATGAGCAAATCTGACTATGTTTTAGATCATCATTTTAATGGGGTTTGCTGAGAATACTGCATGGATCAAAATCTTCTTTATAATGACGTCCATGACAAATGTCCCTAGGCTGATCATTTCCGGGTTTTGTTGGAAGAAATCATTTGATGCCTAAATATACAAATTTATTTGCATTCAGGATCTAGACATCCACTTTCAATTACTCAAATAATGCCTTCTGACTTCCAAATGTAATTCTGCTAAACTATGAAAATTGTGTTAACATTCTTCTATAGGAAAAGTAAGGAGTGTGAGGTTCTCAGGATGTGGTGTGGCTCTAACACCCACTAGCCCCAGGTAGTAATGGTTAATAGACAATGGGAGATCCCTTGACCAAAAACACAGATTAGTAAGGTACCATAGAAAATCTAAAATGTTTAAATCCCAAACTTCCATAAACCAAAATGCCACTCAAATCTACAGACTGAAAATATTGTTGCTGTTATCTAGGAATATAGCTGCCATATTACTGTTATGACTGATGAAAGGCCGTTTTATTTCCTTCAGAAAATCAAACTCTCCTTCCTTTGAGAACAAGCATGGCTTTCTTAGAGATGTAGCTAGAACTGCTTGTAAGACGTTAGTGAGTCCAAGGTGTTAAATTGCTATTGATTGTTTCCTTTGTTTGTTTACACTGTAACTTTAAAAGAAAGTCTCTTTAGTTTTTCAGTAAAAATGACATTGACATCTGTGTGGGCCTATGTTTTGAAAACAGAAATTCCTGAAAAAGAATTTAAACCACATTTCTGATCAATATTCCCACTCCAAACATGAGCTTACTAAAACTCTCTTCTTATGCCTCCATTTCCACCCCAAACACATTTTAAATTGTAATCCTTCTAAGTACCCCAGTTACTCGTTAGTGTGCTAACTGCTGGCACTGAAGCATTTAATTGAAATCCAGGTTTTAACAGTGTAAACATGTACAAAGAGCAGTCAGGCAATACAGTGTTATCTGAAAGCTATGTAGGCTAAAATCCTGTTGCGTAATTATGCTGCAGGAAAGGCAATAGTGTAGCTTGACATGGCTAATTGTGACTAATCAATGAGTCACCACTTGAGTTCCTCATTGTGTTCCACTCAAATGGCTCAGAGCAAGCCCAAGAAATCAAGCATTAACCCACTAATTGGTGGTAATTTGCCAATGTAAGTTACACCACTGCATTTGTACCAATACAACCATAAAACAGGATTTTGGCCATAGTCTTTTCTAGCCAGTGCAGTTGCCTATTGTTTGGGTGAAGGGAGTCTCACTGTGTTTAATGGGCTTATACTAGATAGGCAAAGATGTAGTTTTTTTTTCCTTTAGGGATTCAAAGTTTTGAGTGAAGAGGGTGGGAGATGAATTTCTTCATTTTTGGGAGGAGGTCTGTGCTGGAGTTTTAACTGCAACCTCACATGCTATCTGTAATTTGTGTGATTGAGAACAACTTTTCTGCATTGGGGTGATTATTATCCAACACTAATAAATCCTTCCCTCCAGTCTTTGAATTCAAAGAGAGCCCCATCTCTTTGTTGAGCGGTCTTTCCCTCTCTTTCCTCTGTTGGTTGCATTTTTGTTTGCTGTTGATGTCATCAGTTGGTTTCTAAGTATGCATGCAGTAAAGAATGCAACATATACAAATCTGTAACTTCAAGCAACTGTAAGCTAGCAAATGCTTTTTATCTTTTTTTCTCCTTCAAACATCTGAGAGTAAGTTGTGACTTCAAGTGCCAGTTAATGAGAAAGGAGAGGACTTTCGGGAACCTGTGGCTATTTTCCTCCATAGATCTCTGTACTTCTACGGTGTAGAAAAAAGGAATTTTAACAGAAATTAAAAACTCTTCAATAGTATATGCAATCATAACTTTTTGTTTCAGATTTCCAGGGGATAAGTGTGCAGGTCTCTTGCAGTAAAAAGAACCAGGAATCTTGCGACACCTTAAGCAGGGGTCTCAAACATGCGGCCCGGGGGCCATTTGCGGCCCCCCAGATGATAGTTTGTGGCCCTCGCCTTGCCTGCCCCCCCAAAGCCCCCCCACATCCTCTGCTGTCAAGAGTAAAAAAAAAGCCTTGCCTTGCTCGCCGGCTCTCTCCCAAGACAGCACCTCTTGCACCCTCCCTCCAGAACTGCAGCCTGCCAGCCAGCCCTCTCATCTGTCGGCTAAGGAAACTCCTGGGCAGCTTCCTCGGGCTCTTGCTCCACTTGGCAGAAAATCTGATGCGGCCCAGCCTCACCCAGACTCTGTCTCTAGTAGCCCCCAGGTGAATTGAGTTTAAAACCCCTGCCTTAAAGACCAACAAGCTGTATTTGGCACAAGCTTTTGTCGACTGTAGCCCAATTCTTCAGATGCAAAAAGTAGGCTACAGTTTTTGTTTCAAACCAAAAGGTTTCCTCCAGTTTTGGTAACAGAATTAGGCAACAGATGCATCGTGTTAATCAAATACTATCTGCTTTACAAACTCTGCAACACTGGTATTGAACAATTCCATTCAGTATTTTATAACCTTAAGGTCAATTATAGGCATAAAACCACTGCTGTATCCATGGACACAACAATGACTATTTCGATAAGAGATGTGTATCTGTAATACATAGCAGATAACTAGTTACTATACTGTATATAGTTTTAGAAAAATTCTGTTCACAAGGATATACTTCATTTTTGGCCTCATGGTAGAGTCAATTAAGCAGCCCAGAGAAGCAGCAAAATGTTCTTGCCATTCACTGCCCCAGCGTCATTCATGTTTTGCTGATGGAACTCCACTCCATTGTGAGAGTGGGGTGTCTGCTATATCCTATTGCTTTCTGGTCAATGTATCTGAAGATTTTGCACATAATATAATGAAAATAAAGGCCAGCATCCTGCTCACTTGTGCAATACTTTGAGGGCAGTCACCCAGCTCCCCCACACACAAACCTGGCAGGCTCTCCATCAATTGCACTATGGTTGCAAAACCAGGTGCCCACCCTGTGGCATAACCAGCTACACAAACAACAGCCCATCAAAAGGGGGAAAAAACCACTGCATGATTGCTCTTGCGCATGATTTCGTCCAATACAAAACGTGAAGGTAGAAATATCAAAGACATGAAAACTTTGTTGGAAGAACATGAAGCCATGATTAACAGATACGTTACATTGATTTTGCCATACTGGGTTAATGAAAAGGCTCCAGAAAAGCAATTAAGGCTGCCATTCTATATCCAGATGCCTGGGAGTAAGCCTTACTGAACTTAGGGAGACTTATTTTGGAGTAACTATGCAAGGATGGAGTGGTTAATATTTTAACCAGATTCTGAATGACACTCAGAAACAAGGATAGCTTCATCAGCAGAATGACACCCGGGATTGGCTGAAAGAGATGGCCTTGTGCACGAAAAGCAATTTAATATGTGCCTATATCAGTCTTTGTCATTCTGGAATCACAACTTTGCATTCTGTTTATGCAGAGAGCACAATTCCTTAATGAAAGCTGACTGTTCAATACCAAGCTCAATGTGTTCTGTTCTTAATTACAATTTACGGAAGCATCAGAGGGATCCTCAGAGTAATTAAAAGATCCGGAGGTGAACAGAAGCCAAATGTGGTAATTAGTTTCCTGTGGTTTAAGATAAATAAATACATAAATACATAAATAAATAAATACATAAATAAATAAATACGAATGGATTTATTTAAACATACTGTACAAGATATTGGGACAAATATAGAAAAAATTAATAGTAATAAAAAATAAAGAAATATGTAACTACCAAAAACATTGCTGCTGCTGTCGGATTTTAAAGCACTCCAGACAAAACCCAAAGGGGGGGGGAGATAAAACCCTTGTGGCACCTTAAAGGCAAACTGTTATATTTTAATGTGAGTTTTCGTGGACAAGTCCACATCCAGTAAAAGTTTTGTGCCCTGCTTTAAGATACAGTGGCGTATGGTTGCATTCCACATGTGCATTAACTATTACTGCTTTCCTTTAAATGGAAGCAAGGAAATGTTTTATTGCAAAATCATAAATTTAGGAAAGAGACAAGCATGGCAACCTCTTCTAAACCAATCAGAAAGGACAGCATGGGCCTGAAAGCTGCTTTGGTGAGATACTTCCAGGATTCTAGGGTATTTATTCCCAGGACTGTGGTATGTTTCTCTGTTAATTTTTTAATTTTGAAAGCAGATGGCTGTTGTTGAATTTATCTCTATTTGGTTCTTTGATAAATACTTTGATACGGTCCCCCGGCGGCTCCTTGTCATGGAGAGAACTGCATCAAGCTGCTGGGTCTGGGGCCAATGGCTTCCCTATCTGCTGCTGAATCCCTGACTTTGCTCAAGGAAGGACCAGGGATAACGTCTTCTGATGGCCAGTGAGATCCTGTGAGATCTGTGACTCTTGTTGGACCTGGTATGAAAAACTCACTCCAGTGGGTTCAGAGATTTCACCAGATGTCAAATACGTTTTGCACATCTGTTCCAGCTGTTCAATTTGCCTGCACCAGGGCAAATGTCTCAAACTGCTGAAAGACACTGGCCTATTCTAGCAGGTTGGTAGGCCAAAG